AAAAAAAATTATTGTTATATTAAAGATGTTTTTTTTTTTTTTTCATTCGAGAGCTCGACTAAAACGTTGCAATGTTATCGATATCGATACTATATTTTTCGATCTTAAGTGCAAGTTCTTAAAGTACGCAAAAGTAATAATTATATATGATTGCTATATGTATTTATTTATATATAAATATGTATGTATATACCATTATATACATTTAAAAGCCATGGATGATAGCAGCCGTGCTTTGAGTGCAGAGTATCTCTCGGCCGTTCACTTTTGAATAACTCAACTTTGCATATGGCTAGATTAATTCTTGACTTTTCTGCTTAGTTGATTGAACTTGCCGAATACGTCAGGAATTGGCAGTTTGAACTATTACTCACGACTCAAGGTTAAGAAGTTGCGCAACTTCCCAGCATGGATCGAGCACGCGATGTTCGCAAGTTTCGAAACGATAACAGCAACAAGAACAAGAACAAGAGGAAGAGGAAGAAGAGCAACAACAATAACAGTATTGGTAACAGCAGCAGCAGCAACACAAACAACTGTGTCGTAGCTATCGCCACCCTTCAACACCCATACACACACACACACACACACGCACACACATGCAAGCGTTGCGTCGCTAGCGGCATGCGCGTGAGTGTCAAAAAAGGAGTGCGGGCCAAAAGGACAAACGCACACTAGCACTAACACTAACACCAACACACAAGTCACATTTCGAATTCGCATTCGCATTCGCATTCGCATTCGCATTTTGGCGATGTGTCTGTGTCTTCGGCGAAGCTGAAGTCGTGAGTCAGCCGAGGGCAGGCAGAGCCAGCCGTTCAGTCGAGGAACGTAACTCGAACGCAACGGACGCTCGGGCCGCGCAGCCCCAGAGAAAACACGAGCAACGGAGCAAAATAGCAACAACTGAAACAGCATTAATAATAATAAAACAAAAAACAAAAACAACAGAAACAACAATAAATAGTGTGTGCAGCAAGTTGAAAGAGAGTGCGAAAGAGAGCGAGAGAGCGATAGAAAGGGCATATTGAAAGGCCAAAAGGAAACAATCTAGTTCTTGTTTTGCTATTTTGTTGTTGTTGTTGTTTTTTTTTTTGTTTTGTTTTTTATTGTCAGCTTGCCATTTGTTTAATTAATTGAGTGAACGTGTGTGTGTGACTTTTTTTGTTTGTGTTGGTTGCTGAATTCTAAATTCGCCCAGCGGCGAAGTGGAAGTTACGTCAAAAGGAGCCAGCGGCCAACAACAGCCAACAGCCAACAGCAACAGCAACAACTACAGCTGTAGCAACTTGTACAACAGCAACAGCAACAGCAAAGCCAACAATAACAATAACAAGCGACGCGCCAAACTGTTTTTGGCCGCCTTTGGCGCGTCGTCCTTTGCCATTTGAGTTACCATTTGTTGTTTTTATTTTTATTTATGTTGTTTTTGTATGGTTGTAGTTGTTGCCATTGCCATTGTTGTTGCAGTTGTTGTTTGCTTACATTTGATATTACCTATTTGCTGATTTTTTTTTAGCCGGCATCGGCAACGTCAGCGGCTACGCGGCTCGTGCTTATATAAAGTGTAATATGGAAGCATGTCTTCCACATCCAGCTCCGTGCTAGCGCTGTCATCGTTCAATTTATTATTTTTCACCCAAGGTAAGGCAAATGGAATATAATACGCATAACTGCCAGCTTTATATAATCTGCAAAGATACAAGAAATTATCTTCGGGCACACCGAAGCCTATATACACTAGCCGAGGCTCATGACTCGTGACTCATGAACTGAAATGATCAAGCAATGATTCTTTGATGTATATAACATCTCTAGTGTCTGTAATGTATTATGAAAGTAATTTAGTTTAGATTATAAGTTTGGAAATTCTCTTACTCTTACTCTCTATCTATTCCCCATATGCATATAATTAAAGAACTAGATCGTAATTAGATCTCAAGTGGTATCTAAAAGAAATGAGATGATGCCTTTATATATGTGTTATATCATAGAATTGGACGAAGAGTCTGATCTATATTACCTTGTAGATGTATAGCATATTTATTTTACTCTCTACTTTTTCTATCTATTCTTCATCTTTATACGATCAAAGAACTAGATCGCAATTAGTTAGAGATCTTGCCTATGATAGTGATATCTGATGCGTATGAGTACAACCTAGCAGTCTTCAATCTTTAATTTGTGGTCACTGATCTATGATAGATATAACATATACATATACAATATATGGGTATATATTATATTTCATATCTTATATTTCTTTTATCTTTTATTTCATTGACACCTTATTATTCTTTTACTCTCTCTACATATTCTTCATATGATCAAAGAGCTAGCTCGCAATTCGATATCGTTTGATCGGTGAAAGGTAAAAATTGTCTAGCCAGAGGTCATGTCTATGATAGCGATACGTATAAGTATGAACAGCCTAACGACGCATTGAGTTGTGGTTGCTGATTTATAATATAGGTTATAACAGATATATGTATTCATATATACCCACCCATCTATAATACCCCTGGGTAGGTGCATTGTCGAGCAATAATAGCTCACAATAGCCGCTGTTTGCGAATCGATCAAATATTCTATCTAAATATAAACGTCGCAATTGTTGCTCATACGCCGTGTGGTACGTCACGGTACCTGCGCCCGCAACTAGCTATCAAGCGTTTCCATAATTAATAAATCAGCTTTAAGTTTTGGCCGCAAAAGCCCAGCGATGCAACGTGACCCAGTTTGGCTTCGCATTGGCCGGGCCAATTAGCTTGGCCCATGTGAATCAATCCCTAACAACCTGCCCTTGCCCTGGGGGAGTTGCTAAGCTGGGACAAAGCTGAAGGCTCTCTGCATGCTGTATCATTAATTTTAAGGTTGCAGCTGACTGAGCTCCGCTGATGATGTGAAATAAGCTCGGTGATCAAGTATACGACGAGTAATACCAGGGTAGGTTGAAAACAAAATGAAATGGGTTAAGGACAAAGCTAAGCAGGCATATTAAACAAATACCTGCATTTTATTTATATATGTGTATAATTTAATATGTATATTTTTTTATTATCAAAAACTTGAAAGCTGCTTGGGTACACTATTTATAGTTATACATATTATTTAATAGAAGCCATGAACATGAATTCGTAATTAAGTAAATGACGATTTGTTTCTTTCCCATCTTATCTAATCATATTTTTGAATGGTATAGGATATTTCTGTAGTCGAGCAGCTCATTTATTTGGTCATATTTACTATTTGGGCCAGGCAGATAAACCAATTCTCTTTGTTCATTTGATTGATTGCACTTTCGTTTTAGGTACCGGGTGTCCAGTTGTTGAGCAGCTCTCGAAGCTCAGTGCAATCTGTAGCAAGTTAAGCAACTGAAAGTTATCAAATAGAGACGATGGCCCCAGTAGCAAGTGCATAATTTTAAGTTA